AGAGGCAGGGTGCTGGATTCCTTCTTTTCGGATGTTCTAAAAATGAGCGAAAAGATCATCATGTTAGAATGCACGCCATGTCAGAACGCAGGCCATCTTGTCACTTTTCAGAGGCTGACATCAGATCCGAATGAGGGTGGTCTGGTTGGATACCTGGAGTGCTCTCGTGTCCCACACGCCTGGTTTGATTGAGGGATAACTGAAATTCATTTTTAAGAATCTTTTGAAATAAGGAGAGGAGCTCAAAATGTCATATTTGAGAGGCATTTTAATTGGTGATGGAACATTCGATCTGAACGCCAGTACTCTGGTTGTACACCTGGCGTGCACTTGTGTGTCGACAACCTGGTGTGGTTGTGCAATCACCCAGATTTATTGTTTTAATGATTTTTTTTAATATCAAGTGAAATTGATGTCGAATTATTTTTAATATCAACTGAAATTGATGTACAATCACCATTGACTTTATTTTCTATCTCCACTTGAGAACACTTATTGGTGCTGTTGTGAGAGTTCTTGTTCTTCCTCTGTGAATCTTTACCCGACAGCCAAGAAAGTACTTATTTTATATTTTAATTAATTTCTTTTCACCCAATCAAATGACGTTTATGCATTCGTGGAGACGCTTTTATTTTGAAGGTGGCTAACGCAACTCGCTGGCGGCAGATTACCGTAATGCAGAGCACTGACAATCGCAGTGGCGGCTCACTTGACTTCAATTTTGCGAGTGGAGGCTGGCTTGACCGCAGTAAAGATTTGAAGCCTCGAACCAAAGCATGACCCAGATAATAGGTCAAAACGTGTCTCTCAGCTCTCAAATGCTTCTGTTCCGCTCTCACCTGTCCATTATTTAGCTTCCCTCGAAATGAACCACGTTTGGAATACCGTATCTTGTGTTACAAACAGACGACAAACGCATTGCAGACTTCCTCTCTGAAGTAATAAATATGCGGCTTTTCATTGTGACGACTATTCAGATTTGCTCTGCGTGGTCAACTCGTACCAGATATGTTCCCGTTGAAAACATTAGACATGAAAGGCAACCGTAAATCAAAGCGTTTCGAACATTTCCATAATGTTGATGTTCACTTAACAAACACTGAGTGGCGCTTGTGAGTCATCGGGGGATTTTCAAAGGCTGCTGGGAAATGTTGTCATACGGAGAGTCAAAAGTCGAACTCAAAACAGATTGTGAAAGATGAGTTCTTCAGCAAAAACGTACCTTCTGCATTTTGTATGATCCGAGACATCAGGCGAAAGTCGGCGTGTTATTTGGAGTTCAAAAGAAGTATGTGCGTCTTTGTTTGGAAATGCTAGTGTCCGTTGCTAACAAATCGCCTGGTCGTCTCTCTGGTACCGGCAAGAATGCTAACCTGCTCTTGGCGGCTTCTGCTTGTTGTTCATATTATTTTCAGATTCCCCATCAGATCTCGCTGACTTGCAGTGGATGTTGTCAGACACTGAAGAGCGCACATGGTAAGTGCAGCACCAGAGGCTTCGTGAAAGAGTTATAACCATCGATTCCGAAGTTTATGAGCAAATACATGGCTACCGTCTCGAATTTGACTACTCCCCAAAGAACTAAATAACCAAACTGCCAAACTCCTGCTTGCGGTGAAACACAATGAGATGCAAGCATAACAAGCCGGATAATTTCATGTGCAATGCAAAACTGACAGAACAAATAATCAGTAACACATCCTTCTTGCCAGAAAGCTTTTTTTCCACAGAGTGAGTATAAAGCGATCAATTGCATTCATCATGTCGTCTTTGTTGAAAATTTTTAGATTTCTTGCGTTCAGACAAATGTTGGCTCGTCAACAGAAATTCCCTTTGCTGGCTAACAGTTTTGTCTGACGCTGCAGCCTTCATCAAGAGCTGTCACCGATTTTACCACACCGCGCACATTATAGAGATGCTAAATATAAAATAGACATTGAACCTTATTATATTATATGATGAATATACGGGGCCATTACCTGTCAGGTCGAATGTATTGATATAGCCCTTGATCACCGAAAAGTCTGAGGGTTTCACATGACCACAGTTGACAAATATTAACAACATCTCCTATGTGGTTCTGAAAGAGCCACACTGTGCTAAAAAAAATGTTGGACGCTGCATACTGAAGATAACAAGGACATCAGCTGTTTTTAGGGATGTCACACCAGGAAGTGGTGACAGCTCTGACAAAGGCTGAAGCAGGCATTTTTCTTTTACCAAACATTTGTCCGAACACAAGAAATCTAAAACCTATTCAACTGCTCTTTTGATATTAAAGCATTTCCAAATTAAGTGAGGGTAATTCATGTACACGTACTAAGTTCAGTGAATAAAAAACCTGAAATGAAAGTTTAATGCATGAAAATCTGCTCATTATATAATTGCAGAATTAGGCTGGCAGAGACTGCAAAAAGCACTCGCCTTGTGAGCAGAAATACAGACAAAAAGAAAAATTTGAAGTACTGATTCATTTCCCTCACTTGTACAAGTAAAAAAGTACGCACTGAAATGGATTTCAGTACAATAATAAAATTGAATGTTTGCTGTCAATTATGTGACATGTTTTTGCTGGATTTCAGTTGTATTGTAACGCGCAAGGTAGCGTTCGCTTTGTCTTTTATGCTATTAAAATGTGTCCCTACAGCTAAGCTAAAGTTAGGAACTTATTGAAAAAAATGCTACATTAACACCTGATAAATTGAAAAGTAAATTCTGCTTACCTGTATGTATTTTTTCAAATGAGATGGAAGCATCTTGAAGGCCAGAAGGTGATGGGTTTTTTTTGTTTGTTTTTTTTTGGGGGGGGGGGGGACTGACACAATATGTATCATTCTCGGAGCCATGTTATTCATCAAGTCAAGTACAACTTTATTGTCAAATGTGCAGTATGTGCAACATAGATTAAATTTTTTCCCTCTCAAACAGTCAACAATACATCAAAAGAACAGTTAACATAAAAATGACAAAATAATACAACACAACACATAAGACACAGACAGTTGTGCAATCTTAACCACTTTTCCTGCAAACACTTTGTTGTTTGAAGCAGTTATAGATGAAGGAGGAGCGAATCAAAGTGTCCTCTTCACGAGTGGATCAAAGACGTCATGCTGAAAATGTGCACACGTCTGCTACAAGCTAAATTTGAAAGCAGCAAGAAGCTGTAGCGTCCATTAATGAAAAGAGATTGCCTCTCATCTCCTGTCCCATGTAAATCTGCTTCAATTCCCCAAAAAAAAAAAAAAAAAAACCCAAAAAAACGCAAGACTCTTGAAGAGCACTTGCTGACGGCTGCCTACTCTGGCGCCATCTTGGGGGGGAAAAAATGTCATGTCTTTGTAAGATTAGACTTGATAAAATCATAGCTTTTTGAAAACCTTTCCGCTGAACAAAGCGGGGCTGTGAAAATGCTGCCCATTACAGGCACAAAACACACAAGCGCCCCGGGACTGTCCAGTAACGACAGTCGAATGGCGACAACATTCCTCCCAATCAACATCAGTGCTGGTACACGCGTCCTGCCGAGAAGGCGCAACCACCAAGCACAGTTTCTTTTTCTTTGACGAATGTCGTGGCCAAAAATGCTGAAAACAATCCACATCAGGTCCACACAACGTAACAACAACACCATGTGACAAAACAAAAGACAAAAACACCCAAAAAAAAAAAAAAAAAAACCAAAAAAAAAAAAAACTCTTGAAGAGCA